GGACATTGGGAGAATTTTCCCAAGTAGTAAATTATGTCAATCAGGAAAATTACCTTATCTTTAGGTTGGTATTTATTGTAGGAGTGTGGAGCCTGCAGCTGCAGTCTCCTTATAGTTAATTAGGGTTGGCGGCAAACATCCTCAGCTGTGACCTTATCTTGTCCTTTGAGGCATCACAGCTTCACAGGCCAAACCAGGCCCCAGGGTGACCAGTGACTCACAGAAGCTTATTTACTATGAGTCCACTGCCTAAGGTTCAGACAATTCACAGGTAAACACAGAAAGCCAATTGGTTAATACTAAATCCAGCTCAGAGCCACTTTGTAGTGGTCTCCACCAAAACACCTTACATTTTGTTGAGGTGTCTTGGATCAGTTAGGGCGTGTAGCTCATAAAGGTTGCCCTCTTAGTTTGGGCTCCCCCTGCCAATGAGCCACCCTTCCTCTTCCATCCCTCCTTTTGCCATTGCCAGCCTTCATCCAATACCGATCTACCTCGATTCTCACAGGTGAATCACTCCCTGCTCCAGGAGGCTCTTGCCTCATTCTCTTGTGTTCTCAAAATTGTGGGCCCACATCAAGACTCTCTCACATCCTGTGAGACACCTCCCTATCCACTTTGTGACAGCCTATGGGGGCAGATGGACACTTCTGACTCACTCCCACTCCAATGAGGATGACGACCTCCCAAGGGGTTGTGACAGCTTGTAGACTTTGGCTCACCTTCAGTTTGGTCATCAGTGGGAAATATTCCTTCCCAACACAAAAAACACACTCCACTTGGGTGTCTCTTAAAACAGTTAAACACCCTAAGTCTCCAGGAGACTGTTAAACCAAAACAATATTTTATTGCCAAACAGCCTGGCCTCAGTGTAAACTAGATAGTGGCAGCTGCTGGCCTGAGGAGGATACTTTTGATTTCAGTATCCTCCAAGACTTAGACAACTTTTGCTATCACAATGGCAAATAGTCAGAGATCCCTTATGTACAAGCTTTTATTGCTGTCAAGGAGCATCCTTCTCTCATTCAGACATGTGGGGCAACCCAAATACTTTGGCCCTCTCCACATTGTCAGACCCCTACCTGGTACTTCTCTGGATCCTCTTGGTGTTATACCTATCATGGATAGGTAAAAAAAAAAAAAAAAAAATTTGCAGCTACCTCAATAAAAAACACCAACAATTAGGTTACTGGCCCACCCATTCGTCATGGTGGAACAACGCCTTTGGATCATGGGCCGCTCTCCTCCTCCCTCCTGGGTCCGCTAACCATGACAGTAGTCTTAGTAATCATAGCCCCATGCCTTTTAAAACTTTTTTCATGAGTTCTCACCACCAATGAGCTCCTTGTCCTGGCCGAGACCACTGGCACCACCTTATACGTGTGCCTGACCTGTACTCCCAACAACCACCACAACCGCTACCACAATGCCTCCTATCAGCAGGAAGCAATTTGAAAGAGTCTTCGCCCCTTTAACAACAAAAAGACAGGAATGATGGGTTTCTGCCCATGTTTTCCATCATGGCGGTGATCCAGCATGGCATAGGGTCCAAAACAACATGTCACTCCAAGACTAACTTCCATCTTCTTCCTTACACATGCTTCAACTTCCTGTTCCCTTTTTTCGCGTGTGCCAACACTCCCCCAATCAGTGTTTATTAAAACACCTTAACTGCCCATGTAAACTCCACCCCCAACCCAGCTGTTACGGTTTGTGTCTGGATGTTCCCCCAAGTCTTCACGCAGTCATGGGGAGGCTTGTCAAGTTATGATTAATTTATGATCCGATGCTGGGACTATGGGTATGAGTGCTACACCTGCCCTGGGGCAGGTAGTTTGCATACAGTATAAGGGAGGGAAAGAGGCTACTTGCTGCTGCTCCCACTCTTTTTGCTCTTGCTGCTTTTGCTGTCTTGTGCTGCTTTGAAGGGTTGCCCCTGTGCCATGCCACCCTGCCTTGGAGCCAGTTGATTATAGACTGAAACTTCCTCAAATTGTAAGCTAAATAAACCTTTCCTTCCTTAATTTTGGGCAGTGGATGTTTTGTCTCAGCAACAAGAGGGAAGTAACCAAGACAGAATTTGGTACCAGGAGAGTGTGGTCATTGTTGTGACTGTACCTGACCATGTGGTTCAAGAGTCTCTGGAGATGGCTTGTGGGAAGAGTTTGGAAAGGTTTGGAGATGTCACCAAAAAAAGTAGAGCTGGAATGCCTTCAGCTGTTGTGTATGGGAGATTCTTGTCAGAGCTCAAAAGACCAGAAGGCTGATAGAAATCCTGCCAGTAAAGACGGTTTGGAAGGTTTCTGCTGGGAAGGATTGCACTGGTTGTTGGAGTCCAGTTGATGTGTGTTATGGCTTGGCAGAAAGTTTGTCTGCTTTTGCTCATGCCCAGAGACTTCACTTGACAGTGAGATTCAGGGTGGTGGACCAATTAATCTGGCAAAAGAAATTTGAAGGCAGTCAAAAGTTGAGGTGGTGGCATGGCTATTGTTGGGGGCTTTTAGCGAGATTTATGTTGAGAATCAAAAGCAAAGAGCCCAGCGGGGTGATTTAAAATGTTGTGAGTTTTGCCAGAAAGGAAGCTCCAGTAAAGCTACTGCAAAGATAGAGCTGAGGAGATCTCCATGGCTGAGAAAGAACAGGAGAATATAAAAGATGGCCTGAGGGTATCACAAGAAGCAGCAAGTCTCCACCCTTTGCAGCCTCAAACCTGCAAAGATTAAAGACTTTGCTTTTAGGAGAAAGCCACAAAGTGCCATGTTCCAGAATGGCAGCAATGGCCATACCAGGTTTCCAGAAAAGCAGCAGCATGGAGAATTTGTTCCTGAGAACTGTATTCAGAGTGTCCAGTGACCCAGGCACTCAACCCCTATGGCCAAGAGAGAGGAAAGCTTGGCTACTGCTCCAGGTGGCAGCAGACCTTGGCATCATCTATGTGGCACTGCTTTTAGATGCATGGAGAATGCAAGAGTTCTGAGGTTAAGAAGGCTTCCACCTCAATTTCAGAAGCCCTGAGAGGCCAGGCAGTGTGCCCCTGAAAGGGCAGTGTGTGAAGCTGTGAGTGTGAAGCAAAAGGTGCATTAGGGACTGCAGAATTTTGGACAAGCCAGAAACATGGATTGTCTAAGGAAAGCTGCAAGGAGGGCCTAAGAGAGAAGCCATGGGAGCTGCAACCATCAGAAGTGCCATAAGGGTGGACTCGTGCAAGCCCTTTGGAGCTCACAATGTGCCACAGATTGCTTCAGATGTTCCACATGGAACTACAGGATATAATGTTAGCCTTGCTGGATTTTGTACATACTTTGGTCCCAGTGTTCTGTACCACCATTTGTAACTTTTGGAATGGTAATGTTACCTTGTGCCACTTAATGTTGGAAGTGTTTAACTTTGTTTTCATTTGTACAGAGGCTCATAGCTAAGAGCATTAGTGTGAGCGCTACACCTGTCCTGGAGCAGATAGTTTGCATACAATATAAGGAAGGGAAAGCAGCTGCTTGCTGCCGCTCCTCCATTTTTGCTCTTGCTTTTTGCTGTGTTTAGCCAGTATGAGCTGTTGCCCTCTGCCATGTGCCACCCTGCCGTGGAGCCAGCCAAGTATGGACTGAAATCTCCACAAACTGTGAGCTAAATAAACCTTTCTCCCTTTAATTCTGGGTGTTAAGTATTTTGTCCCCACAACAAGAGATTAACCAAGACACCAGCTCAATAAATTCTTTGTCTCCCTGCTTCTGCCTCAGAGGATTCTTTCATTCTCCTGCAGCCCTCTGATGTGCACAAGAAAAGCTTCCTTTTTATGCCAAAAGAAAAACCTTACAGCTAGTGTCAAGAACCCTTAGGAATTGTCCACTTCTCAGACATGTCTTCCAGTTGTAGCTGGCTTTTGTGTTTTCATTCTCTTGTAAGATCCTGCCTCTTCAAATTATTGTGGATGTTTCTAGTTTTTTCTTTTCTTCTGTTCCTGTCCCTCTTTCTATCTTTCTTTCTTTCTTCCTTTCTCTTTCTTTCTTTCCTTCCTTCCTTCCTTCCTTCCCATTTTCTTCACCAGTTCCCACAGCCTGTGTAATCTTCCTCCAGCCTTGAAGGAGGAAGGAATTCCTCACCAGCCACCGCAGTCCACAACATCCACTGCTCTGTTCCACTACTGTGTTTCTCCGTGGAGGCCTCTGGGGTCGCCAGTAGTCACTGTGCCTCTGTGGGTTCATCTGCCCCTCCTACGCGATAAGTGTGGGCTCAGGGAGAAAGCACTGCTGGCAACCTCCCTGTTCTGCGCTGTGTCCCCTCTCCACTCTCCCCCTGGGCTCTAATTCTCACTTCAGATCCTCTCTGAATCCCGCAGACCCACTTCCCTCCTCCTCCTCTTCTTCACATTGCTGTTTTCCAGCATCCAGATTCCAACTACTGGAGAGGCTGTTTCTCTGCTGCTCCCCACTCCACCATCTTCCTGGACATGCAGCAATCACTTAATTTCTATATACATTGCCATCTGACAGCTGTACGGTATTGTAGAGACTAATAGCATGAAGATGTATTAGTAGAATGGGTTTTAGACTTAAATATTTACATACTGAGAAGAGATAGACTTATCAAATATCTTAGAAAAATTACTTCCAAAATTGAGCTATGGGAAGCAAAATAGAAAAACCAGTCCCAAAAATGGCAGTCCCAAAAATGGCAGTTAAAGGAGGAAAGAACATGCAAGGCTTTCCTTGAATGCCAGTGGGGACCCTGAGATCTTCTGTGGCATCAGCTGTTTCCGTCTTTGATCTGTGAAATTCTCCTTTGTGTAATCGAGCAGGCTGACCTTACAGCCTAGTTCATTTGCCCATATTCTGTATCCTTTCTTTTTTGTTTGTTTTGCTGCAGGAATCAAACTCAGGACCTTGCACTCGCCAGGCAGGCGCTGCACTACTGAGCTACACCCGCGGCCCCTGTGTGCCCTTTCCTCCAGCACACTCTTCTCCGTGCATGACAAAGCGTGACATTTTGTGACCGGGTCGCAGTCCTGCAGCATGCCCAGCGCCCTTGCACGGCCAGTTTCATTTGTCCCATGCGGGCAGCAGCCTGTGCCTTTGAACCCTGGATCCTATTGGGTGACTGGGCGGAGAGCCCGTGCTTCTTGCGTGGTCCCGCTGCGGACCCCTGGCCTGGTTGTGTGTCGAGGAGCCAGTGGGGTTCTGCAGAGGGATCCTGCCCCGCACACGGCGCTCAGCTGCTGCGGTCTGCTCCCTGCACCGCACACAGTGGGGGGCCTCTGCCCTGCCCGGGAGGAGGCGTGGGAGGAAGGAAATGGCTTCCGTGTGTGTCTGGCCCTTGAGGCAACCTGCAGCCTCCTGCCCTCTCCGTGCGTTCTTTGCCTGCTGTAAATGATCAAAAGCAAACCAGGCACCAGAGCACTTTGAGATGGGAATGCGTAGTCCAGTGAGCATCTTGGGGATGATGAGAAGGCAAAGAAGTGGGGGCACTCTGACCTGTTTATTTCACCCTTAGGGAACATCAAGCGGAACCCCAACACCAAGAGCCTCTTGAAGACAGGTGAGGGGGTGCTCAGCGGCCCAGATGACCGGAGCTGCTGTCACTGCGGCACCGAAAGCCGGGCTCCGGAGCAGGCTCCCAGGCTCATTGTCTGCTTTCAGGGACAGAGCTGAAGACCATCAACCACTTCCTCTTCCAGAACCAGGTGGACAGCATCAACCTGTTTAAGGTAGAGCGCCACCCTTCGGCCCTGGCACATCACCCGTCCTTAGTGCCAGCTGCAGCAGCCGCTGCCTACGATCGAAAAAGGAATAAAAGCAGAGTCCCCAGTCACCAAGCAGTCAGACGCAGGAGAGTACGGGGCCCTTGAAGCAGTGTACACCGAGGAACAAAGTGACCTTCGCTCCGGCGCCGGGCTCGGATGGCTTGGTGGGAAGAGAGCCTCTCTGGGACCTCGGGCACAGTGGAGCCCGCGGGTCCTCCCCTCCCCTCTTCCGTCTCGCCCTGGAGCCTCGGGTCGGAGCGCAGCCTAAGAACTGTCCGGCTCTCCCGCGGGGTGTGCGGCCACTGTCGCTCGAATCACAGCCCAGCGACTGCAGTGTCAGCTGCCTCTGTGCGGAGGACTCACTGTGTTCCGGGAGGGGCACGGGTGGGGGCCGCAGGACAGCGCCGCGCCCCGCTGCCCGAGCCAGCGCCCCGCAGTGCCCCTTCCTGCTGCCTTCTCCTGCGGGCCAGCTTTTCGCGACGTCCCCTTTAGGTCACTGCTGGAAACTGAGTCACCTGCCTCCTTTCTGCCCCGAGTCCCACGCGCACAGGGTCCCCAGCCCGTGGCCAGCCCTGTCTCTGAAGTGCGGGTCACAGTGCCCCCTCCTCACCCCGTCTCCCTTGCAGGTGCAGCGGTACTGCGAGAGGAGCAAGGTCAGCAGGAAGGTGCGGCCCCTGCCCGGCCTCCCTGCCCGGTCTTCTGCCTCGGGGTCCCCAGCTCGTCCGTGTCTGCTCCTCAGGCTGGGGCGGCACGGGCTGCAGCTGTGTGGAGTCCTGTGTCACGCTGCCACCCTCTCTCCTCTCCGCCAGCTCTGCGGCTTCACGGAACGCTACGGCGCCGTCCTCCCGCCGCCCCGGGAGCCGTCCGGGCTGGCCGGGCTCCAGCGCTTCCTGCAGAGCGTGCAGCCCGCGGTGAGCGAGGGTGAGTCAGGGCAGGAGGCCGAGCTGGCTGCAGGCCCGGGCGGTGCTGCGCCCGACCTCACACAGGTCCTGTCCTCCGTCCTCCCGCCTGCACAGCGCCCGCCGCGCCCCTGGAGGAGGCCGAGGTCGGGGCCACGCGGGCCGCTTCCCCGCTGATGCACATCGAAGGCTTCCTCGCGGCCCTCACCACCGCCAGCCAGGACGGCAGGGTCATCCTGAGCCGCCAAGGTACCGCGCAGCAGGGAGCCGCACCTGGGACGGTGGAGGGGCTCGGGCGCATCCCACCCCTGCCCGCCTTAGCAGGGAGAAGTGTGCAATGGGCGACCGATGGGCCGTGGCCCTAAGGGCAGGAAGTTGCCTTCAGGCTGTGTGACCTGGACCCGTTTCTCTCTATGCACCTGGGTGTGTGTGTGTGTGTGTCGGTCTGTCTGTCTCTGTGTCTGTCTGTCTGTGAGGGAGATGGCAGCACTGTCTACCTTGGCGCTCATCCCGGAGGGAAGGTGGGGCTGGACTCCCCGTGCCAGCCCGTGCGTGTCGTGCGCGGCACCCGGGAGCCCGGTGCCCAGGCTGACCCCTCCCTGTCTGTCCCCGTTTCAGGCAGCCTCAGCCAGAGCAGCCTCAAATTCTTGCTCCTGAATCCAGCTGTGCACTTTGCCCAGGTGGTGAAGGAATGCCGGGCGGTGGTCATTGCAGGTGGCACCATGCAGCCGGTAAGGACCCCAGCCCCAGCCTCTGGTGCCCCAGGTGCTGGGGTCGATCAGGGTAAGGATGCAGCGTCAGTCAGGTGTCCTGCCTGTCTGTCCTCCTGGTCCCCAACCCGAGGTGGCACACGCAGGCCCAGCAGTGTCCACTAGGTGGCCCTGCAGAGGCTTCACCCAGCCATTCTGTGTCCCAGAGCTGGGAGCCCCCCTGAGGACCCTTCCTGCCCCACCAGGGAGGTGCCAGCCCTCTGAGCTTGTCCTAGTGCGGATTCCTTAGGTTTCAGGGTAGGAAGCAGGGAGAAGAGCTGCTGGGTGGGGGTGGCGGGGGTAGGTCATGATTTCATGCAGAGATGAATGATGTTGTACGTTGTGGCAGTGGCCTTTCTGGGGTTGTTTCACAGGTGTGTGCGTATTTTAAAAACAAAGATGGAATTACCTGTACTCGCTAGTACGGTTTGCTTTTCACTCAGAAGCAAAACGCCACGAGTACCTTCCTCCTCAGCAGGGATAAACTTCCTCCCCCGTCTTTTTTCCCTCACTGCTGACACACAACTCCCAGAGTTAAGGGGAAAGCTTTGTTGAGCTCAGTGTGTAGAGGTTTCGGCCCGTAATCAGCGGGTCCCAGGCAGGGTGGCTGGGCAGAGCAGCAGCTCGGGAGAGAACCGGCTCGTGGCAAGCAGAAGACAGCAAAAGCAAGCAAGGCGGGAGAAGACAGCCTCTTCCTGTCCCTTGTGCTCTCGCGGTGCGCTGGGTTAGCGCGGGGCCGACCAATCAGCGGATTGATTGAGTAACCACCCAGCCTTAAACCAAGCATCGCACCGTGACTCAGTCACACGCTAGATTCAGCACCTCTGAAAACGCCCCCATGACAGCATGGGGCTTTGGGGGACATCCAGACCCCGGCCAGAACATCCCCCGGGCTCTGCCCGCGGTTACCTTCCCTAGACCCTCCCCTCCTCCTGAGCTGTCCTGGCTCCCGGTCTCTCTCTGCTCTGAACAGTGTAAGTGCGCGAGTCTCTGCCCGGAGCTCTTTCCCAGCTGCGCACTGCAGACGCGCTGTGCTGCCGGGCTCCCGAGGGCCGTCCTCAGCCTCTGCTGCCTGCTGCAGGCACCGCTGTCAGGCTGTTTTTTATTTCCAGATTTCTAGATTTTTATTTCTCCTGTGCCTCAAAGTTCTCTGCTTTGCCGATCAGATTTTCTCAAAATCAGCATGGGAAGCCCCTGCCTGCCCTCCTGATCCTGTCGGCGGGACCCGGCCCGATGTCTCCTTATGTTCACGCACAACAGAGCGACGTCTCAGTGGAGGGCGGCACGTGGCCCTTGGTGCCAGGGCGCCCGCTCGCTCCCGACTGTCACTGCATGGGCCACGTGGCAGGGACACCCAGGACATGCGTTTTGAAAAGCATGAGTGGGTATTGATATTCCTGAGTCAGAATCAAAGAGTTAACTTATTTGCCCTTGTACCTTTCTCAGGGCAGATGGGGCGTGGCGGAGTAAATAAGTGTGTGTTCAGTGACAACAAAACAGTGTCTGTGATATCTGGCTGCTCAGTGAACATTTGGTTTCTTATTAGAAACGAGTACCAGCGCCAGGTCCTTGCCCACTGGGACAAGAGTAACCTGCTGGCTGGCCTCGCTGTCAGGAAAAAGGTGAGTGGCCCTTTGCCTGGCACACACCCTCCCAGGTTGGCAGTGCCCCCAGAGCTCCGGCTGGAGTCCTCACGCTCCCTAAACCCAGATGGTTCCACTTCTCCTGGTCCCTCACCCGCACCATGTCCATCTCCGGTCTCTGGGTCCTGGCCAAAGGGACCCCCAAGGATGAATGCCCTAAGAAGGGCTGTCCACACAGTGCAGACGGGAGACCTCACAATCCTCGGCCCTTTTCTGGGATGCTGTCTCTCCCTCCCTAAGAACCCAAGAAAGCCAGCCAGGTGGAGCAGGTGCTGGCGGCATACTCCAGGTGCATTAAGGTGAGGGACAGAGGCCGGGTGCGGGGACCACGTGGGCTGGCGTCTTCCGGGCCCTGCTTCAGCGCTCGGGGTGGGGTCTGTCCACAGAGCTGTCACCAGGCGGGAGGCCCGGTGACCGGGGCCCTGCTCCTGTCTGTGGTGGGAGGGAAGATGAGCGAAGGGATCAACTTCTCCGATGACCTGGGCCGGTGAGTGCGCTCTTCCCTGCAGGGGCCGAGACCCTGCGCCCTGCCTCGGCCTCCTGCCTCCGGTCTGTGTGGAGCCCGGGGAGTGGGAGGGAGGGGCAGGCGACACAGGAAATGAGGCCGCCTGGGGATCCCACGCGCTGGCCAGGGCTGGGTCCGGCTGGGCGTGGGGGTGACCGAGCCCGCGGCGTCACCTCGCCCGTCCTCCCAGGTGCGTGGTGATGGTGGGCATGCCCTACCCCAACGTCAGGTCTCCCGAGCTACAGGAGAAGATGGCCTACTTGGACCAGTGCCTTGTGAGTCCCGCCGGGCTGCAGAGGGCTGGGGGCTGGGGGTGAGAAGGCGTCACCCCGGGGCCGGGACTGAGATCTGTGCCTCGGCCCTGTGCTGACACTGCCTGTCCACGGCAGAGGTGGGAGGCGCACCCCGCCCTGCTGGCTTTCCCACGAGGCTACCTGTCACACCTGCTGACCTGGGCCCGGGACCTGGGTCTCCCCCGGGGCAGGAGGTAACAGACACTTCTGTTCATGTCTCCCTTCCCGTCGCAGCCTAGGAGCCCAGGGCGGGTGTCCCCGGGGAAGGCGCTGGTGGAGAATCTGTGCATGAAAGCTGTCAACCAGTCCATAGGTGAGCGGGGCTGTGCTGGCCCTCGGATGGACGGCTGGCCGGGAGCGGGTGACCGGAAGGGGAGAGCTGACCTGGCTGGGGGGAGGGGCACAGGATGTGCGGTGTGGGCAAGGGAAGGCAGCTTTCACCTGGAGCCCTGCTGCGTCCCCAGGCAGGGCCATCCGGCACCAGAGGGACTTCGCCAGCATCGTGCTCCTGGACCAGCGGTACGCCCAGCCCGCTGTCCTGGCAAAGCTGCCGGCCTGGATCCGGGACCGCGTGGAGGTCAAAGCCGCCTTTGGCGCCGCGTTCGCCGCACTGCGGAAGGTCAGGCTGGGGCTCTCCGTCCCCGGGGCCCGGCCCAGATGCGGTTTCTCACGGCCTCTTCCTGCGCCCACAGTTTCACCGGGAGAAGGCGGGGCCGCCCTGACGGGGGCCACAACACTGCGTGTCCTGGTCCCTCCCGTGCCTGAGATGGAGGATCCCGTGTGCAGCTTTCAGGGTCCACGCCTGTTCCCCAGAGCCAGCAGGTGCGGGGTCCAGGGCTGCACGGCGAAGCCAGCAGGAGCGGATTCAGCGTGTCCCTCAGGAGCAGAGGGTCCCCAGGGCAGCTCCCGCTGGGACTCCTGCCGCTCAGGGGGGCCTGGGGTCAGCTCCCTGCCTGCCTTGGAGAGAGCAGCAGCCCCCCGCCCCACCATGGCACCCACCTTCCCCAGGCGAGCCCCACCCTGCCTCTGCCCTTCCTGAAGATGCGCGGGGACCCTGTGTCCATCACCGAGACACTGAGTGGGAAGCTGCCCTTCCCCGCCCCGCACGCCACTCCTGTTCCCACACCCCTCTTCTCGCCTCAGCCCAGAGAAGGGGGCCTCGGTCCCCTGCACCTTCTACCCCACTGCTGGACCCCACGGGGGAGACAGGCCCGGCTCCAGGAGCGTCCGCGTCCTGCCCGGCCGCGCTTCCTGCTGCGCCGTGCGCGCCTGCCGTGGGCCCGTCTCCCGTGCCCCTGTGGATTCGGTGCTTTTCCTCCCACGCCGCCTTGGAGAGGACCGCGCTGGGCGGTGTAGGGAGGGGCTGAAGCTGGAGATAGATCTCACACGAGGCGAGCCCCGAAAACGGGCTGCCAGCTCAGAACGGGGTGCTCGGGCCTGCGTGCAGAGCTGCCGGACGGAGGAGCTGGAGCTGCCATCACCCTCCCGAGACGGTCAATAAACGCGCGTAGGCGGCGGAGCAGTCCCTCCCTCCCCTCAGAGAGAGGCTCCACTGACCTCAGCTAACGTCTCTCAGCTTTATTATTTCTCCGTCCGCTCACCGTCCTTCCCGGCTGCTTCAGGACTTGTGCCAGACGCGGGGCAGGCGGCACCCGGGCCACAAGGCCCTTGCACGGCA